GTCAGGCTTAATCCCAGCTCCACGATGACCAGCTGCGCGACCCTGGGCAAGTCAATTAACCTCCCCCAGCCCTGCGTTTCATATCTGCCTGAGATTGCAGAGACCATCTTTTATTTTTTTAGCAGTGGGACGCCCCGCTAGAAGGAAACTAGGGGGTTTTTTTTGAGAAGTGAAAACCTTTTTTTCTTTTTCTTTACTTAATCCTTTCACCTTCTTCACCCAGTCCCTCAACCCCCCTTGCCTCTGACAGGTGTCCGTCTATTCTCTCTATCTATGAGTCTGTTTCTGTTTTATTAGATTCCACATACAAGTGAAATCATATGGTACTTGTCTTTCTCTAACTGGTTTATTCCACTTAGCATAATACTCTCCCAGTTCATGTATGTGTTGCAAAATGTAAGATTTCCTTCTTCTCCTTCTCCTTCTTCTTCTTCTTTATGGCTGAATAGTATTCCCTTGTGTAAATGTACCACAACAGCTTTTTTATTCACTCATCAAGTGATGGGCATTTGGGCTGCTTCCAGATCTTGGCTATTGTAAATAATGCTGCAGTGACCATAGGGGTGCATATATTCTTCCAAATTAGTGTGTTGGGTTCCTTCAGATATATTCCCAGGAGTGGAATTGCTGGGCCTGGAGGCAGTTCCATTTTTAATTTTCTGAGGCAACTCCATATTGCCTTCCACAGTGGCTGCACCAGTCTGCACTCCCACCAGCAGGGCATAACGGTTCCCTTTCCCCCACATCCTTGCCAACACTTGTTTGTTGATTCATTGATGATAGCCATTCTGACAGGTGCGAGGTGATATCTCATTGTGGTTTCAATTTGCATTTCTCTGATTAGTAATGTTGAGCACTTTTTCATATGTCTATTGGCCATCCGTATGTCCTCTTTGGAGAATTATCTATTCAGGCCCTTTGCTCCTTTGCCCACTTTTTAATTGGATTGTTTGTTTTTTTGGAGTTGAGTTGTATGAGTTCTTTATAAATTTTGGATATTAACCCCTTATCAGATGCATCATTGAAGAATATGTTCTCCCACCCAGTGCGTTATTTTTTTCACTTTGTTGATGGTTTCCTTTGCTGTGCAAAAACTTTTCAGTTTGATGTAGTCCCATTTGTTTATTTTTTCTTTTGTTTCCCTTGCCTGAGGAGACATATCAGAAAAAATATTGCGACAAGAAATGTCCAAGATTTTACTGCCTATGTTTTCTTCTAGGATTTTTATGGTTTCTAGTCTAACATTTAAGTCTTTAATCCATTTTGAGTTTATTCTTACGTATTGTGTAAGAAAGTGGTCTAGTTTCACTTTTTTGCATGTATCTGTCCGATTTTCCCAACACCATTTATTGAAGAGACTATCTTTACTTTATGTTTTTACTTACTTTGTCATATATTAATTGACCATATAGATGTGGGTTTATTTCTGGGCTCTCTGTTCTGTTCCATTGATCTATATGTCTATTTTTGTGCCAGTACCATTACCATGGCCTTGATATCAGGTAGTATGATTCCTCCAACTTTATTCTTCTTTCTCAAGATTGCTGTGGCTATTCGAGGTCTTCTGTGGTTCCATATAAATTTTTGGAATATTTGTTCTGGTTCTGTGAAATATGCCATTGTTATCTTGATAAGAATTGCATTGAATCCATAGATTGCTTTGGGTAGTATGGACATTTTAATGATGTTAATTCTTCCCATCCATGAACATGGTATATGCTTTCACTTATTTGTATTTTCTTCAATTTCTTTCTTCAGCGTCTTATAATTTTCTGAGCACAGGTCTTTAACATCCTTGGTTAAATTTATTCCTAGGTAATTTTTTTTATGCAATTGTAAACAGAATTGTTTTCTTAGTGTCTCTTTTCTGATAGTTCATTATTGGTGTCTAAAAATGAAACTGATTCCTGGATAGTTATTTTGTATCTGTGACTATACTTAATCCATTTATTAGTTCTAGTAATCTTTTGGTGGAATCTTTAGGGTTCTCTATATACAGTATCATGTCATCTGCAAATAGTGACAGTTTTACTTCTTCCTTTCCTACTTGGATGCCTTTTATTTCTTCTTCATGTCTGATCGCTGTGGCTAGCTTCCAGCACTATGTTGAATAGTGGTGAAAGCAGACATCCCTGTCTTGTTCCTGATCTTAAGGGAAAGACTTTGTTTTTCCCATTGAGGATGATGTTGGCTGTGAGTTTGTCACACATGGCCTTTATCACATTGAGGTATATTCCCTCTATTCCCACTGTGCTGAGAGTTTTTATCATAATTGGGTACTGGACTTCATCAAATGTTTTTTTCTGCACCTATAGATACAATCATGTCATTTTTATACTTCATTTTATTTTTGTTTTTCTTTTTTGTTTTTATCCTCACCAGAGGACATTTTTGCACTTATCTTCAGATAGAGCGAGAGGGGGAAAGGGAGGAAGAGAAAGGGAGAAACATCAATGTGAGAGAGACACATTGACTGGTTGCCACCCACACGACCCCAACCTGGGCCAGGGACAAACTGTAATCGAGATACGTGCCCTTAGCAGGAACCAAACCCGGGACTCTCTGGTTGGCAGGCCAACGCTCTAACTGCTGAGCCAAACTGGCCAGGGCTAGCCTTCATTTTGTTTATGTGATGTATACATTCATTGATTTGTGGATATTGTACCACCCTTGCATCCCTGGAATAAATCTCACTTGATCATGGTGTAAGCCCTTTTTAGCATATTGCTGGATCTGGTTTGCTAATATTTTGCTGAGGATTTTAGCATCTATGTTCATCATGGATATTGGCCTAAAATTTTCTTTTTTTTTACAGTGTCTTTACCTGGTTTTAAGATTAGGGTAATTCTGGCTCGTAAAATGAACTTGGGAGTCTTCTCTCCTCTCAAATTTTTGGAATAGTTTGAGAAGGCTAGGTGTTAGTTCTTCTTTGGATGTTTGGTAAAATTCACCTGTGCAGCCAATCTGGTCCAGGACTTTTGTTGGTTGGGAGTTTTTGGTTTTTTTTTTATTACTGCTTCAATTTCATTGGTTGTAATTAGGTGGAAACCTTGATAAGCCCTTTGAGGTAGGGGAAAGAGCCCCCACCCCCACCCCCACCCTACAAGAGGCCTGCTTGAGGGACTGGAGATGGCTGCCTTGGGCCGCCACCAGCTTTTGTGTTGTGACTGGAGTAAGCTGTTGGGGCTGAGGGGGGTGCGGGTGGGGGGCTGGATGCTTGGGATAACAAAGGGGGTTCTTGAATGTTTCGTGGAGGGAAAGAGAAGGAGAGGTGAAGCCACTGACAAGACCATTGCAGCATCAAGACCTCGCCCAGTTCTCCAGTCTCATCCCCTAACCTGCCTACTCTCCCCTCTGCCCTGCAGCCTCTCGGAACTACTTGAAGTTTCCAGGATGTTGCCTCACTCAGCTTCGCCCATGCTGTTCCCTCCACCTGGAACACCCTCTCCAAGTTGTTCACAAGCAAACACATTTTTTCCAAGTCTCAGTTCAAATGGTGCCTTTCCCATGCCCTGCCCTACCCATGCCCAACCCCAGGGCAAACATGGGTGCTGCTTCTGCAGGACTCGCCACGCTGGGTGCACAGAGGTCAACCCACCGTGTTATGGTCATTTGACAAGTCTATCTCTCTACCAGACTGTAAACTTTAGGAGGGCAAGGACCGAGTTGTTTGCTTTTCCTTTGACTCCCTTAAAGTCAGTACAGTGCCTGGTGCCCAGCAGGCCTTCAGTGAATGAATGCCAGTGGAGTAAATGAGGAAAAGATGACAAAAGAATGAACAGCTGATCTGCCTGAACGGCTGGGAGCGAGGAGGGCAGGAGCCATATCGACACTGCTATGAGGGTCACTATCTTTTTCTTTTCTTTTCTCTTTTTCCTCTTTACTATTATGGTTACATTTCCCACGCCCTGGGAATGACAGGTCACGCGTGTTTTGATGTGTGGAACGTGCTATAATTTCTTGAATTCAGCTCTCCTTTTTCTGAGGGCTCCCTCTGTTATATATGCACCCAATTAGGGGGCAATTATTTCCCTACCAAAGGCTCAGCGTTTTGGCTTCATGAGATAGAGAATTCTCCCAGTGCATGAAGAACAGAATTAGATTTATAGAAATTCAATTTACACTGGGCTTTTTAAGAACAGATGTCTCACACAGCCAGGCCACCTATCTGTCAGGCTGCCCGAAGTCATAGCTTATAGGCTTCTTTTACTCCCTTCCTGCACGCTCCCACTTAACCCCTTGGGACTGGGCCTGTTGCAGCTACTCTGGGCACCTGGCCACCTAATCCAATGGCTTTTTCCTGGGGTCCTCCATCTCCACCTCCCTGAGCTATATGATGCCACTGACCATCCCATTCTTCCCGAAACCCTCCAAATCCTCAGTTCTGTGCCCGAAATCTCTGCCCACCTCACACTGACCCCTGAGCTTCTGGATGAGTTCGCCGATCCAGCTCCCTGCTGGGTGTCTCCATATGGATGTCGGCGCCCTGCTGGGCATCTCTGTGTGGATGCCTCAAAGGCAGAAACACCACAGCAGATGAGTGCCGTCTCCCCCACACAGGCTCCCCTTCTCTATCCCTGGGAAAGTCACCGCTGCCCCCCATTCTCACAGTCACCTCCCCCGCCCCCGTGCCACAGATCCCCTCCAGCACCAAGCGGCAGGACGGTCATCTCCGGAATACATGTCACTCCGATCCACCTCTCTCGGACACGCACGTTACGCTCCATGAGCACTGGAGCCGTGTGTTTCTGGTCACTAGTAGAACCCAGTACCGAGTGGCACAGTGCCTAGCACATGACAGACACTTCATAGCACGAGTGAATGAGTGAATAAGTGAGCAAACAATCCCCACGTGCAAACTGTGACGCTGAGGCCCAGAGAAGAGGAGTGACTGGCCCAAGGCCACCGGGATGGAACGAGCAGGACTTAGCGCAAGGGCAGCTCCAGCGGCCACGCGCCCCGCCTGAGCACAGGCGTGCTCGCCAGCGGCCTCTGCTTACCTGAGAGCACCGTGAAGACGGCTGCGAAGGCATTGAGCTTGAGCCCGTCGATGACATTGCTGGAGTGGAAGAGCTCGAGACACATGAGGCTGAAGCCGACCACCAGCAGGAGGATATAGAGCACCTCGGAGACCACCGACAGCCACAGGACCCCTGTGACAGAGGCAGAGGCCGTGAGATGAGGGACCCAGGTGGACGCTCCCGGGTGCATTCCGCCCCACGCCCTGTGGTCGGGGGACCGAGTCGTTTTAGAACAGCCCTCAGCTGTAGGCGGGTCCTGCTCAGGGGAAGACCATCATGGTCACACGTCCCCCTCACCAGACTGGCTCAGGAATCCAAGCCAACGTCAGTCTGCCTGTGGCACTCTGGGTGACTGTTGCTTGTCCAGGGTGGCATGTGACCCATAAGTGGATCCATTGAGATGGGAGGGAAGAACTACCCTGTGGCTATGCCAGAGCCTCTCTCTTCTCATCTGTTAGATGACGGCCGCTGGGAGCACCTATGGCCAGGAGGGCACCTGCCTCAGAATGAAACGAACACTGTAGTTACTGAGCAAAGTGACAGAAAGGTGACCTCATTGGACCAGCAACCACCACCCCTGAGAGCTTCCCTGTGGTTAAGGTGGTCAGTGCGACATTCTGCAACCTGCAGCCATGAGCATCCCAACGTATACACACATCATACCTGCCCTCAGGGACACCTATATTTTTACCTGCCTTGTACCCTACTTCACTTTTTTCTCTCAACTACCACTGCTCCTCCCACAGCTTCAACCTCACCAGTCAGCCTAGGACTTGCCATGTTCTGCTGTGGTCCCGCCCTTCTGGACACAATTGATTGGTTCAATAAGACCATGCGACCTAAAATTGGCCAACTGAAGCCCTTCTCTAAACAGCTGAGCCTGGAAACACAGAAGTAGACAGGACGAAGGCTCCGACGAGAATCCAAGCACTCTGACAGTGTGAGCACCTGGTTCCAGCTATTCCTGAAGGCCACATGCTCCCCTGTCCGGCCAGTGGTTTGGCTGTTCAGGTCTACTTGTAGTCCCTGAGACAGCACGGCTCTCTTCCCTTAAATTGCTAACTGGGTTACCATCATTTGCTACTTAGTTTAGAGGGCATCTTCTCTCTCTCCCATCCCACATTATCCTGCTGTTTTTCCTACATGCGTTTTATTTGGAGAGTCCCTCCCTTTCTCAGTCTACACAAGTAAGGTGCCGCTGACCCACATCTTGGCTCCATACTTGGGCGCATGACTCCTGCCTGGCCAGTCAGAGCTCCATGTGCCCCTGACCCTGGTCATTCGTTCAGGAATGAACCTCCCTATGCCTCCGTTTCTTCACCTATCAAATGACGATGATGACACCTCTTCACAGTATGCTGCGCTGTTAGGATTCAACCACAGCGATGTCGAGAGCGCATGCCCAGCACATGGGGGGGGGGGGGGGGGCTCAGGTCCTGTGTCCTGTTAGAGCTGTGGGAGCACATGTGAGGACTGGGGTTCCGAACAAGGTCAAGACTACAGACAGTCAAGATGGAGAAATAACATTGTGGAAGCAGATAAGACTTCTGAGGAAAAGGTGGAAAGCAGAAAGCAACACAGCCGGCTGACTCGCCTTCTAAGCCGCGCTGACCATGTGGTTTGAGCAAGGCCCATGCTTCAGAGAAAGCACTGTGGACCGAGCTCGCCAGCCAGACGGACACGTGCCCACGTCAGGTTCCAAAGGTCAGCCACAGGACTTCTGCTGGGACTATTGGAAAGAAACGTCCTTTCTTTCCACTGGTTTTGAGGCTGGGAAGACATGAGGATAGACCTGACCGGGTCACCAAGTGGCAGATGTCAAGGAAGGCAGGGCCAGAGGTGGAGGAAGACTGTGTCCTATGACATTGTTCAAGCCCCTAGATCCCAGTCATCTTGTCTTTGCCTAGGCCACTCGAGGTAGAATTTCTATCACTTACAACTAAGAGTCCTGACCTTCACCTGTTCTGTTCTCGATGATGTCAGGTGTGTTCTTTGCTGCCTCTCTGCCTTTGCCCAAGCTCCTTCCACCTGGAACATCCCGGGGACATACATGAAGCAAACAAACAGCATCCTTGAGTCCCTACTGCTCCCGGAGGAAGAGCTCAGTTTCTCAGACACCAACTACCATCCCCAGCACGACGGGGCTTTTACAGTTTTGGAGAATGTTTTTTATTTCCTTTTTTTTTTGCTACAACAACGTCGCAACTCCTGGGCAATCCCTTGGATTTCTATAAGAGAATAGTGTGCACTTGGCAGCCAGGATGTTGTTAAAACACCCCCTGGCACGCACACTTGCAGCCTCCCGAGGCCCTTCGCTGGCCTGAGGCCCCCAGGCAGCAGGGAGGGAGGCAGAAGGTGCCAAGCTGGGCCACGCACCCTCCTGCAGGCTTCGCCTCCGCCGCTGTTGCCCCACTGGGAGCTGGAACCTGCCCCTCACCATGGTGGCTCCCTGACTCAGCTGCCTCCCCGGCACCCCCCCTACGCCTCCAGGGGGTTCTTTCATGTGTCCAAGTGGGCCCTGGGCCAGGCCTCCTCCGCCCCCTCCCCTCACAGCAGGACCCAGCTCTGCTCTTTCAGAGGGGGTGGGGGATGGGACGGCTGTGGGCTGGGGTGCTCACTCAGAGGGGGTGGGGGATGGGACGGCCGTGGGCTGGGGTGCTCACTCAGAGGGGGTGGGGGACGGGACGGCCGTGGGCTGGGGTGCTCACTCAGAGGGGGTGGGAGACGGGACGGCCGTGGCCTGGGGTGCTCACTCAGAGGGGGTGGGAGACGGGACGGCCGTGGCCTGGGGTGCTCACTCAGAGGGGGTGGGAGACGGGACGGCCGTGGCCTGGGGTGCTCACTCAGAGGGGGTGGGAGACGGGACGGCCGTGGCCTGGGGTGCTCACTCAGAGGGGGTGGGAGACGGGACGGCCGTGGGCTGGGGTGCTCACTCAGAGGGGGTGGGGGATGGGACGGCCGTGGGCTGGGGTGCTCACTCAGAGGGGGTGGGACAGGGGTCGGCCGTGGGCTGGGGTGCTCACTCAGAGGGGGTGGGAGACGGGACGGCCGTGGGCTGGGGTGCTCACTCAGAGGGGGTGGGAGATGGGACGGCCGTGGGCTGGGGTGCTCACTCAGAGGGGGTGGGAGATGGGACGGCTGTGGGCTGGGGTGCTCACTCAGAGGGGGTGGGAGATGGGACGGCTGTGGGCTGGGGTGCTCACTCAGAGGGGGTGGGAGATGGGACGGCCGTGGGCTGGGGTGCTCACTCAGAGGGGGTGGGAGATGGGACGGCCGTGGGCTGGGGTGCTCACTCAGAGGGGGTGGGAGATGGGACGGCTGTGGCCTGGGGTGCTCACTCAGAGGGGGTGGGAGATGGGACGGCTGTGGCCTGGGGTGCTCACTCAGAGGGGGTGGGGGATGGGACGGCTGTGGCCTGGGGTGCTCACTCAGAGGGGGTGGGAGATGGGACGGCTGTGGGCTGGCCTGGGGTGCTCACTCAGAGGGGGTGGGGGATGGGACGGCTGTGGCCTGGGGTGCTCACTCAGAGGGGGTGGGAGATGGGACGGCTGTGGGCTAGGGTGCTCACTCAGAGGGGGTGGGAGATGGGACGGCTGTGGGCTGGGGTGCTCACTCAGAGGGGGTGGGGGATGGGACGGCTGTGGGCTGGGGTGCTCACTCAGAGGGCGTGGGAGATGGGACGGCTGTGGGCTGGGGTGCTCACTCAGAGGGGGTGGGAGATGGGACGGCTGTGGGCTGGGGTGCTCACTCAGAGGGCGTGGGAGATGGGACGGCTGTGGGCTGGGGTGCTCACTCAGAGGGGGTGGGGGATGGGACGGCTGTGGGCTGGGGTGCTCACTCAGAGGGGGTGGGAGATGGGACGGCTGTGGGCTGGGGTGCTCACTCAGAGGGGGTGGGAGATGAGACGGCTGTGGGCTGGGGTGCTCACTCAGAGGGATGGGAGATGGGACGGCTGTGGGCTGGGGTGCTCACTCAGAGGGGGTGGGAGATGGGACGGCTGTGGGCTGGGGTGCTCACTCAGAGGGGGTGGGAGATGAGACGGCTGTGGGCTGGGGTGCTCGGGAAGCACCTTAGATACCTGGCTGGGGTTGAGCTTCCTATTCCCACCAGATGAAAGCTTCAGCCCACTCAGGCCAAAAAAATTAACAACAATAAGAATTGTTGTTATTGTTCTGGTAATAGTAGCAACAATGGTTACAAAAACACAGCCAACCTTACAGGCATTCATCGTTTGCCAAGTCCTACTGGAGGATGGTCCTCCACCCAACCACGTGCGCTTCTCTTCCATGTGTCTGTCCTTGGAGGGCTGTCCTTGGGCAGCTGGAGTCTGTTTTGCCATCTTCACTCGGAAAGTTCCTGCAAACTTACATTTCCTTCCATGCTGTCGTCCACCAGCAGCTGACCCATTAGTGGCCCTGCCCTATGGCTCTGGCTGTGACAACCCTGGGATGCGACCCACATTGCAGAACCCCACCCCCACCCCAGGGTCAAGACCAAAGCTGCCTCCCTGGGCCTGGCCTGACATTGTCCTCTTACCTGCCTTCCTCCCTTCCCTGCGCTTCCCCGTTGCCTTTCTACTCTCCTGGGGCACTGTCTTTATAAAGGGCCTGCCCAGACCCTCATCTCGGGGTCTGCTTCCAGGAAATCAGACCTCAGACACTAACATTCACAGGCATTATGTTCCTAATCCAACAACCTTGCAAGGTAGCGAGGTAGTATCCATTGTACAGATGGGCAAATTTAGGCCCAGTGGGATGAAGCAGCTAGTCTACACACCTAGACGGTGGTACAGACTGGATTCAAACCCAGGCCTCTCCGAGTCCAGGAACCATCACGGGTAGAGCGGTAAGCGAGCAGGGTGGAGTGGCCACGTGGCAATCATCATTCTCCAGGCTTGGGCCGATCCCTGAGGCCCGTCTGCAGTGGGGCATAGGGTTCCCAGCCACAGCTCCCATCTATATGCTCCCAGCATCCCTAACAACTCCTGACCCACGGTTCCTGCACGCGGCTGGACACCAAGCGGGAAAGGCAGGAAGGGACTTCAGTTCTCAGCAACCCCAAGCCCAGCTGGCCACCAGGTGTGGTGGGGAAGGAGGCCACAGGGAAGAACAGGTGAGTCTTGAGGACACTGG